GATGAGGCACTATATCAAATGTAAGGCACTATACCAAATACAAGAATTATTAGTATTAACTACAATAATAATGTACAACACATATTGATAATAATTTCATAAAGACGAGATGCGGAGTATGGATAAGAAATATTTCAAATCAAGTGAGGGTGGGGAGTATTTATTTAAAAATGAGAAACTTGAATTTTAAAGAGAAATTAAATCTTCATAATGCAGATACACCATCTGTCAGTTAATAAAAATGAGTGTGGTAAATCATATTCATTTTCAATTTATTGGCAGCTAAAATTATTAACAAAATGGATAGCAAGTGAGTCATTTTACTGAGAGATAACGGTTGTGGTTTACAGTACAATCAAAACAGCTATTTAAACAGGAACCTTATTGCTCAGTCCTTGACCGACACACCCCTCCAACAATGCTGGGGGATCTTTGCATTGTTGGAGATGCCGACCTTCGGGTAAAACATTAAACCAGGACTCCATCTGCCTGTTCAGGTGGACGATAAAGATCCATGGCACTATTCCTAAAAAGAAGGGGGGGATAGATATTTGTTGGTCAGGGTACTAAGGGATACGGGGCAAGGATGGGTAAGGTACAGATCAGCCTTGATCTTATAGAATGGCAGAACAAGCTCGAGGGGCTGTAATGGCCTACTCCTGTTTCTATGTTTTTCCCAAACCCCTGGCCAACAATCAACAACAACAACAACAACTTGCACTTATATATATAGCCCCCTTCAGGCGGGGCAGCGTTATGGAGCACTTAACAGTGGCAGAGTCTGACGCTGAGCTGGGGGGGAGGCACGGTTGAAGAGGAAGGTCTTCAGTCGTGAAGGGGCAAGAAGGAGGGATTGGGGGAAGAGAGTCCCAAAACTTCAGGCATAGTGATTGAAAGCACGACTGCTGATGATGGAGCTGAGCAGACGAGAGACAAAGCAGAAGGCCATAGCCAACCAAGTGGAGACAGCGGGTAGTGGAGTGGGGAGAAAGCAGGTCAGACAGGTAGGGAGATGCCAGGGCGTGAAGGAATTTGTAGATGAGATTCCGCTTGATTTAATTTGGTCATTCACTCGATGACTGTTTGTAGGACATTGCTGTGCACAAATTGGCTGCAGTGTTCATCTACAAAATACACTGTCAATACACTTAACGGCAAATCCTGTGAAGGGCTTTGAGACTCCCTTCCAACATGGCAGATGCAATATCAAATGCAAAGATTATATTATACTTATAATACTAGCATGAGATGTTTGAACCTACTATTTGTTTAGGGACTGGAAACGGTAGGTTTAAATACACTAAATAAACTAATCTGATAAACTAAAGTCGATACATTCTTGGGTCAGACATTAAAAAATGAGTTGTGATGTACAAATTACATTTTATCGATCCATAAATGTATTGTTTTTTTTGCAGGATTACGAATACAAATTGAACCATAGCATAATTAACCCACCGGAGTATAAACTGGAGTGTGTACAGGAAGGGCTGTGAGACATGGTGTGAAAATTGCTGCCAAGTTTGCCCACAAAACACACAGTGGATACACTTTACAATGTATCCTGTGAAACGCTTTGGGATGTCCTCCTGACGTGAAAGGCGCCTTACCTAAATGCAAGGATTATTATTGCAATATCTCATAGCATAATGGTTAGAGCAGTCGCCTCGCAAGTGAAAGGACCTGGGTTCCCGGGCAGGGCGAAACGTTAGGCAAGTTTACTTACTCCACACGCCTCTGTTTACCTAGCAGTGAGTTTTTTAGTCGATTGGCGGATCGCTCTTCCGGTAGTAAAAATCCCTTCAAATAATAATAATAATTTGGTCACTCAATCCACGACTGTTTGTGGATCATTGCTGTGGGCAATTGGCTTCCGAGTTTCACCCACAAAATATACTATGATTTCTATGTTCCTAACACTTTTATTCTAGTTCACCACTTAATTAAAAACACAAGCAATCATAAGAGTGGTTTGGAGGAAGAAGACCCTTCGGTCCATTTGACCTCATCCTTCCAGAATACCTATGCTTCTATCTTTTCATCATAGCATCGAGCTGTTTTTTTTTAAAACGAGTCCAGCATCTTGGCATCAACCCCTCTTCCTGATAACCCTGTTCTAGGTATTATTTATCTTCTGGGAAAAGACACACATTGTGTCCCATGTTCTGCTCTGCTTTTGAAGGGTAATAATCCCTTCAACAATAGCAACAACAAAATTATATTTATAGAGCGCCTTTCACGTTGGGAGGACGTCCCAAGGCGCTGGACAGTCAGGGGTCAGGACCCGAGCGTGGGGGGAGGGGTGGGGTAGGGATGAGGGAAGGCAGAGAGGTGGGAGGGCGACTGAAGGCGCAATTGAAGAGGAGGGTCTTGAGACCGGCCTTGAAGGAGGCAAGGGAGGAAGCGAGGCCAAGGGACTGTGGGATGGAGTTCCAGTGTGTGGGGACAGAGAGGCTGAAAGCCCGGCCACCGATGGTAGGGCAGGTTGGGCGGGAGACATGGGCAGGCCGGAGCCCGCTGAACGGTAGGGAGTCAGCAGGTCAGAGAGGTAGGAGGGGGCAAGGCCATGGATGGCCTTGAAAGTGAGGACTAGGATCTTGAATTCGATCCTCTGCGGGATGGGGAGTCAATGAAGTCGGGCGAGGGTGGGAGTGATGGGGTCACGGAGCCTGGTACAAGCCTTTCAAACAAACAAACAAGCAAGAGAATTAATTATTTGGTCACTGAATCCACAACTGTTTGCGGGACACCGCTGTGCGCAATTGGCTGCCGCGTTACGCCCCCAGAACATACAGTCAATTCGCTTTACCGTATAGTCTGTGAAGCGCTTTGAGACGTCTCGAAGACGTCATAAGGCGCTATATCAACTGCAAGGATTATTATTATTTATTACTATTTTTTTTCTCTCTCCCACCCACGATATTATGATTACCTGTTGCACATTTTTACATTTCCTCGCGTTAAAACTGTTATTGCCGATGATGGAAATTGGGGGTGGGAGGTGTGTGTGGTGGTGGGGAGGGAGTTGACATCTTTTTTTTGTAATATTTAGCGCTAAACCTGGCGCGATTCCCGCAACCTCCAGCTTTGGGGCGAGATCAGTTACCGCCGAGCGACGTCTCGCGCCCCACCCGAGCGCAAGCTACCACGTAGACGGTTGCCCACGTTTGCACACGTCGGTGCATTTTGCCATCGGGCGAGCGATCCCCTCGCCCGCGTCCACGTGGCACCGGGCATCTGCAACGGTTGTAATGGATGGCATTTTCACAGGCTGCCGGAAAGCATCTCCATCAGTACAGTACAGTAAATAGCATGCTTCAAGTCTGGGAGAGAGAGAGAAAGAGAGAGAGAGAGAGAGAGAGAAAGAGAGAGAGAGCTGCAGGACCTTTCCTTGTTCACAGCCAATTGGGAAAGACATGTTGCTGTGATCTGCTGTGTGTGTGTGTGTGTGAGAGAGAGAGAGAGAGGCTGTGCTGTGATGCCAGCACACAGACACACACACACACACTCTCTCTCTCTCTCTTGTGAGCTCTCAGTCAAGAGCTGGGGCCACAGTGAGCCCAAGATAGGCTTCAGGGGAAAGGGAAGTACCACCAGCCCAAGCCCAGCCAGAGGAGCAGCCTGACACCTCCAGCAGCGAAGGGGAAGGCAACTGAGAAGAGGTTTCTTGAACAGGATTTTCTTTTTATCCTTTGTGTGTGTGTGTGTGTGTGTGGTGGTTGGTGGTGGGGGGTGTGGGGTGGGGGGGGGTCTTGTTGTCTTTGCTGATTCTGCCACAAAACAGGAGGGAGGAGGAAAGGACATCAACTCAGCATCCAGCAGCAGTGTCTGTCTGTCTCTGTGTCTGTCTCTGTCTGTGTGTGTTTGCAGGTACCTGAGTACCAGTCACCTCTGTTTAAAGGGGGTTCATTCAGTGAAAAGAGAGTTGTTGTTGTTGTTGTTGTGATGCTGGTGGTGGTGGTGGGTTTTTTTTTTGCTGATGAACAAAAAAGAAAAGCAACTGAAAAGAGATCTGCTTGAAAATCCGAGGGAAGGAGGAGGAGGAGGGAGAGAGAGAGAGAAAGGGAGTCAATTGTATCCTCTTTCCCCCCCCCCCCCCCCACTTTCCCCTCTATGTCCTCCCCCTTTTCTCCCCACTTTCCCCCCCTCCCCACCCCCACATTGGAAAGTGTTTAAGAGGTGGAGCTGGTGAAGCCAGTGGATTGCAGAGATTGATGCTTGTGATGTCTTAACAAAAACCCTTTTGGCTGCGCTTGGTTGGGTTTCCTTTCATTGTGTGTGGGTGTGATCCCCCCCCCCCCCCCCATTTGGTTATCCAGTCTAACATCCTGCATTGCTTTTTTTTGGGGGGGGGGGGGTGTTTGGGGGGTGTGGGAGAGGTGCTGTATAGCTTAATTCGTAATCAACCCAGAGAGGGTTGAAGGATGGAGCTGGAAGTGGACACTGACTGCACAGTGTATTGATCAGTCAAGAGTGGGAATCATATAACCCTTTGCACACAGCTGACTGTGTGTGTGTGTGTGTGAGAGAGAGAGAGAGGAGGGAGGACACAGTGAAGGAAGGAAGGAAGGAAAGAAAGAGCAAAGCAGGAGGTTTCTCATTTCTCTTGCTTTCAATCTCTCTCCTCTCCCCTCTATCCCCCCTCTCTTCTCTCCCCCCTCCTCCCTTCTACCCCACCTCTCTCCTCTCTCCCCCTCTCTCCCCTCTCCTCCCCTCTATCCCCACTCTCTGCTCTCCTCCCCTCTCCTCCCCTCTATCCCCTCTCTCTCCTCTCCCCTCTCCTCCCCTCTATCCCCCCTCTCTGCTCTCCTCCCCTCTTCTCCCTCCTCCCCTCTTTCCTCCCTCTCTCCCTTCTCTCTCCTCCCTCTCTCGTCTCTCTCCTCCCTCTTAGCTCCTTCTCTTCCCTCTCTCCTCCCCCCCACCCCAAAGGCTGTCCCTGTTTCGCGGTGGCTTGTGTTATGAAGAGTATCTCCTCACTGTAGCTTGTGTTTGGTTTACAGGGGGCACTGTTGACAAGGACCTTCGTCACTACCTCAATTTACGGTTCCAAAAAGGGTCGGTGGACCACGAGCTACAGCAAATCATCCGCGATAACCTGTACCTGCGCACGGTGCCATGTAAGTAAAGTACCGTTTAACCAGTGCTGCTCCCTCTCTCTCTCTAACTCTCTCTCTCGCTCTCTAAAAATATCTTTCTCTGTATAACAGTCTCTCTCTCTCTCTCTCTCTAACAATCTCTTTCTCTATCTCTATTTCTCTCTCTCTCTCTCTCTCTCTCCACAATCACGAGCTGAAGCTCCATCTGCCTGGACCAACCTAAACTGTGCACCAGGCGATGCTGTGACAGACAGTGTGAGCTGCTGCTCCTCATGTACAGGCTGGCACTACATTAACGGGCTTCACAACAGGGAACCCACTTGCATTTGTATCGCACCCTTTCTGGTGGGATAGAAGGGTGGAGATAACCATAAGCACGGCTACTGAAGAAGATGGTCTTCAGGTGTGATCTGATCGGGGGTGGGGGGGGTGCGCGGGGGGATTGAGGCAATGAAGGTATCAATGACAAGTCCCACGAACAACATTGGTACCATTTAACAACCAACCAAACATTGTTTTCCCCCCCCCGGGTTTGTTGCTCAAAGCTTTGAAGATGCCAGTTGATGTGCATGGTGGCTATGTGTCCCCTGAGATGATCCAGACCTAAATCGAAGTAGTGTGCTTTGAATTATTTTCCTGCCTGCCAAAGTCGGTCTTGATTTCTCAGCATAATTGTCGTAAACATTGCTGGTTTGGAAAAGTTGGTTCTTTAGACACCAGAAAGGGCCAGGGATCAACCAAGAGCACAATTTCTGTTGCAAAGTTTGCGATATTTGCTTTATTCTTCCTATTGAGTGGATTTGAAGCAATTTTTTTTAAATAAGCTACGCATTAAACTTTAAAGAATACGATAGTTCTTCAGTGTGACTGCATCTCAGGTAAGTGCTGGTGGACATTTGCTAATGTAAGAGTTTAAGTTACAGGAGTGTTGTGCACATATTGAAATAATGTCAGTATGATTAAAACTAATACTATGTTACTGAGAGCTATAAAATGATTTGAAACCCGATGTGAATAATAGAGGTTTGAGATGCTCTGAAATTAATAGCTGAGACCAAGAACAATGGGCATTATATCGGAATCTGCATATGTATTGTGTTGAGTTAAAACTGATTTTTAAAGGCTGGAAAATTATGAGCTGCATATTGTTTTGCTGCTTTTCATGTGGCAGCTTGGTGTTGCTGAGCTCTCCTTTCATGTTATGAAAATACCGTTAGATTGTTGTACTTCAAGGGGTACAATTTCGCCGTTTTTCATCTCTTGTCATGCAAAATGCCGTTTAATAATTTTTGAGCCAGTTTCTCGAGAACACATATGACATCGCGGAGGGATGTTTGAAAGTTTACCTCGTAGGAGAAAATAAATTCAATCCACAGTAATCTACTGTTGGGGAATTATTTAAAAATGTATTGGGAGATTTTACACGAACGTATCAGGCCAGCTGGGTGTTCCTTGCAATTCTGCAATTGGTACTATACATTTTGAATTTCTCTTAAGGCCAGAGTGGTGATATGATACGAGGTGCAGGGAGGACACAGAGGCTTGTCGTTATTGTGTGCCGCCTGGTGGGTGAGTTTAGAACTCCAGCCTTGAGACTGGATAGTCTTTAGATATCCAGGCTCTCCATAGCTTGCCCTTCATGTCAGGAAACGGTGTATTGCAGGATCCAAAGCAAGGAGTTATACATTTTAGATTAATTTTGAATTCTGTGGGAAATAAGTTGCGCGTTAAGACGTGTAGCAGTTCCTTCCAGCAATGCAGAGGGCACTTGTGAATTATTCAGGCACGATGTGCTTCTTTTAACACAATGTGATGTGGTTACCTGTTGTCGAAGCATTAAAGTACAAGAAGGAAAAATAAAATGATGTGAAAAATTTACGTTCTGAAAGCTTTCTTCTGCTAGACTTGTATCGTTTTATGAAAGTTTTTTTTTTCCCCTTCGAGAGTTGCATCTCCGTTGCAGTTTGGAGAACAGAGGAACAGGAAGAGGCCGTTCAGCCCTTCGAGCCTGTTCCACCATTTAATTAGATCATGGCTGATCTGTACCTCAATTATTCCTTTCAATTCCAATTTCCCACTTTCTCCCCATATCCCTTATTACCCTGACCTACCAAAAATCTGTCAACCTCACTCTTGAAGGTGTGGATGGTTTCAGCACCCACAACCTTTTGGGGAGGAGAATTCCAGATATCTGCCACCCTTTGAGTGACAAAATGCTTCCTGATTTCACTCTTAAATGGCTTAGTTCTAATTTTAAGACTATGCCCCCTTGTTTTGGATTCCCCCACCAGAGGAAATAGCTTCTCTATATCTACCCTATCAAATCCCTTTATCATCTTAACTACCTCAATCAAATTGCCTCTCAACCTTCTAAACTCAAGGGAATATGGAATATTTTGCTCACACAATATAATAATGATTTTTGCATTTGATATAGCATCTTATCATGCAGTCAATTCCGCTTTACAGTATAATCTGACGCATTTTGAGGCAATGACGTGATGCGGCGCTATATCAGATGCAAGGATTATTATTATCATTTTCTATTGCATGATATTTGCAAAACTCTGTGGAATTGATTTGAGTAACATAGTACAGGGCACAAAGGTAAGTCAGCTCTGAGATCGGCGTTTGAATCCAGGCTAGGTTGAAAGGATGAAACTCTTATCGCGTACCAATTATAAGTGTCCTGTATGAAACTCGTTTTGATTATTTCAATTCCTTGGACTCATCCACAGCACTCAGCTGCACAGCAATTGTCCCTAAATGCCAGTCTCAGAAGAATATAAGATATTTTAGAAACCAGGTAAGGCTATTAGGCCAATGTGTTAGTCTGTGATGATGAATCACTGTCTTGCTTTTCCACCATTTCCCACAACCCATTGTATCTCCAGAAACTGGACAGAAACTGGTGCATCTTCCTGTGATCTATGACATCTTCAATTCACATCTTCCAAAAGTAATTTTGTGTCTTGTGACTTCAAAGAGCTTTATCTGTTGTCTAATGTCTGGCAACATCCGTAAAGTGCTCCCAAGACATTACTCTGCGTGAAAGGCAGTATATAAATGCAAGTTGTTGCAATTCAGTGTAATTTAATACCTTATGTGAGAAGCTGAAAGCACACATATTAAATACTGTTCCATCTCTTGCGTCATCAATTTCCTGAAAGCATCAAACAATTGCAGTCTTGTATAAATCACGTCCGACACTTATTGTATAGTTACATAGATTTTCAATTAAGATTACATCCATCCTTCTGGTTTCTTTGAGCATAAATATTAATTTAGCGTTCCTTTGTGGCCAAATCTGCATTATGACTCCATCCTCACTCGAAACTGGGTTAAGGCATTCCAAAACCCATTTTATTTTTGACGTCGGCCTCCTTCAGGTCCCCCGCATTTCCCACCCCACCATTGGTGGTCGAGCATTCAGTATCTCTGCCCCCACCCTCTGGAACTCTATCCCACAATCCATCCCCTTCACCCCCTCTCTTGCCTCCCTCAAATCCCATCTAAAGACATTCCTCTTCGATCGTGCCAGCTCGGATCCCAAAAGCCCTGTTTGTCCAGTGCCCTGAGACGTCTTTCCGATGTAAAAGGCGCTATACAGGTGTAATTTGTTGTTGTTAAAACTGTTAGAGAAAGGTAACTTTCAGCACATCACGTTGCACTGAATCGAAAATCCTGGTCAAGAGGTTAAGAGACCCTGCCCCAATCAGGCACCACTGCATTCACTGAATTTAATCCAAATGTGTACGGATGTGTTACAGATGTGTATTGAAATGATACAATGACATTTTGTACCTTTCAATTTCCCACAGACCTTTTGGTCTTTTATTATGCTGTGTTTTTACCAACAAGGGGCAAACACTGGGGAGATATTCTGTACACACTTTGTAGTTGTCTGATTACAATGGGATGCCAAAGAGAAACTTGGGAAACTGTTTGCCCTTATGTCCTTTAAGTCAAGGACTGATGTGGCATGTTAGGATCTTTAGTACGGAGGCAGCCAAGTCATCACAACTAAGGTGGTAATAGATACCACAAAACAACATGATTGCACTCCAATCTGCCAGCTCCAGCAATAAAGTCAGTAAATGCGTAGCTCAGTCAGCATTCTTACTGTGAAAGGGAAAGATATGTTAACAATTTTGGTGTCGTCCTACATCACAACTGTAGAGAATGCGATGAAGGCTTTTACACGAAACTTGAACCTATCTTTCTCTCTGAAATGCTGATGCTGTTATAGATTGCTGGCATCTGCATTTTTACTTTTATATGACAATCCCACAGGTGTTTCGTTTTGTCACTAATCTCCATCTCTGTTTTGACCTTCTGTGCAGTCTTTTTCACTGCTATGACCCAACTGATTTCCCTCTTCCCCCTTGATAATACTAATCTTCAGCCAAACAGCAAATGTGCTGCCCATTGTAGTTATCGTAGCCTGTTCTGTTCCTCATTGTTCTCTTCGAAGCTGATTTCCAGCATCCTTTTGGTCCTGTGGATTACCGAAAGCACCCAGACTGTGCTTCTATGTGATTGTCCAGGTCACCATACACAAGCGCCAATTGGGCAACTAAAAAAGATGACTCAAATTAACATTTTAGTCATGGAGTCCTGTAGTGTAGTGGTTGGCGTGCTCACCTCGCAAGCGAGAAGACCTGCCTGGGTTTGAGTCCCAGGCAGGGCAAAACCTTGGCCGAGTTTCCTTAGTCCACACGTCTCTGTTTACCAAGCAGTAAGTAGGAACTTGGTTTTAGTCGATTGGGGATCACTTTCGGGGGTAATGATAATGCCTCAAAAAAAAGTGGTGACTCAATCCGTGACTGTTTGTGGGTCACTGCTGTGCGCAACTGGCTGGTGCACTTCACCCATAATATACAGTCAATTAATTTTACAATATATTCTGTGAAGTGCTCTGAGACATCTCAACGACGTGATAAGGTGCTATATCAAATGCAAGGATTATTATTATTATTTTAAAAATTCCGAATCCAATAGGTGTGGTCTCCCGATCCACA